CGGCGGATTGTCCGAGGTAATGGGTCCCTCCTGGGGAAGATTTGTGTACTGAAGAACTCTTTCTACGGAGGTCATCAGCGACATCGTCTCGGTGGACTGCTTTATGCCGTATTGCAAGCAACCGATCAAGATCAACGATTGCGATATTGCCAGACCTACCTGACTGTCTTCTACACTGTCTGTATTATGAAGATAAACGGAAGGATTAGTAAAAGCTCGAAGATTTCTCACGATCGTCGAAATGTATTTTCCAACTTATATACTAATCACTCGCGGAAATAAAAAATTGCTTAGATATCGAAGGATTCTATTAATTTTTTGTAGCTTTTTGTACGTTCTCGAAATATTTCAAAGTTATGAAGAATGATATTTAATCTTCAATAAGAATGTTTTACATAATTATATAATTTACCATTTTTGCTCATCAATACTAGGGAGAAGCAAAGCACGGCAAGGAACAGGCACATGATTAGATCGGTAAAGATACCGAAGACTGACGAGCTTGATAAGAAGAGGTACCACGTGCCGCTGTGACGGTCTTGTAACACGTCGAACTGTTTTCGCATCATCTTCTCGATTTTGACGCCGCCACTTCTAATCGTCGGCAGGCCGTTCAGCGTAGCATTCACATGCGAGAATAACGGGCTCTTGGCTAAAAACGCAAACGCAAATAAACTGGAACTTACAAATTCTGCGTGAGAACTTACAGATCTAAGTTTGATGGCAAAAGTCAAACGGAATCTAAGAGTTAAGTGGATCCTAAAGCCGTCTGTAATACCGGCTTTTTTTCTTAGCACTAATCTTTTAATTAGCTTTATAGAAATGCAAAATTCTTGTCTAGAATTAAAGTACGCATCAAAATCTAGGTCATGGTGGTCAAATTTATATCGAAACCGAGAAAAAATTAATATTTTTGTTAATTTTTGGTATACGTGATGACAATATTTGCTTTGTACAAAAATTCCACGATAAATATCCACAAAATTAGACCGGCATGACCTAGGGACAACATTTAAGAACAATATCGTGCAATTAGATCTAAGATTGAAAACCTAGAAAAAAAGATTAGTGTATATAACTTTTATATATGCAAAAGCACATTCAGGTTGACAGGATAAGCAATATTGCGTGTGGCAAGAGATGGCGCAGTAATCGAACAAAGACAGATGCCTCTCGTTAGACAAGGACAGATATAGATATATGACAAGAAAACAGAATTAGAAATGTTGACATTACCGACGTCGAGGAAGTTCAGCCTTCACTTTAGGATCCCCTTAAGGAGATGAGTCGCGCGTATTCCCTCTCGTTCTTTTCTAATAAAGAGTTTCTCGTTCCAATACTTACTTACGCCTTCGAGACGTTTGACGTTTTGAGCGGTTTTCAGGTAGAATATCGTCGCGAAGTAAAACAAGATGACCAGTACTACTATCGGTATGAGCATCCATGGATTAATTATCGCTTCCATGGTGAATATACCGCATACTACGCAAAACACTTGGAGCGCCTCTAACATGACTTTGGGCAGGTACTCGTCCATGGTGCCCATGTCCTTCGAAAATCTATTTAAAATTCTCCCTGAAACAAAAAAACGATAAATATAAACAAAGGTTTAACAGAAATCTGGAATTAAAACCGTTGTTTCGATGATTCAGACTTTTTACTATATAAATATCCGTAAAAGGATCTATGCCAATCGTCCCGCATATCTTTATGAATAAGTATAAAATAAAAACCATTCGATAAATTCGAACTCGACTAAAATTTGTTAGTCTTATTTCTTCCGGATTTAAAAATTCGTAAACTCTTCAACATTTCTCTTCGACGCCACAATTTCCTTTGCCTATTGTGATCTCACGATTACTGCTCACCAGAAGGATTAGTGTGGAAGAAGGACATGCGCGCCTGTACCAGATTGGAGAACATGGAGTTGTGCAGGTTGCAGCTCGAGTTCATGCAGATTTTCATGAAGAGGAAGCTCCGGAGCAGAGTGGTAACAGTACAGGCGATGATGCAGAATGTGTATACGTATATAGCATCTACAGTACTGAGCAGGCCGTCTGAGTTCAGCGTAAAGATCGACCCAAGGAAACTGTCGTTGTACATGTTTGCGAACTCTTTGGCCTCACTAGTGTTGTTAATGTGCCTGACAGTCTCCAAGTTGGTCCAATACGAAAGCCAGTAATCATTCCCTGTGGTGGCAACCTGACTGATAACGAAGAGCAGCAGCAACATGAACAGGGTAAAGTAGTTGCCGCCGTGGTGGAAATATTCCTTGTACACTCTGCCAGATAGTCGGCCGCGTGCTATTATCTCGGCTTCCGGGCTGTTCTCCGCATAATCCGAATCCTCAATATCCGACTGCTGCACGGCAACAAAATAACAATCTAATTACTTGTTTGACCTTTGCAACGGACACAGCTCGATAGAGATAGTCGCGCTATGATCATAAAAAATGTTAATAAAACAGTGTTAAAAAAATTAATGATGGTTTAAAACAAATCTGATATATAAAAAATGTCAATAGTTTCTGTTTTTTATTTTAATTTTAAAAAACTGTTGGCAGATAAGGATTTTCTTACAATGATGGAACTTGCGGTTGATAATTTA